TTAAAAGTATGGGGAAATATTACACACAGAAATGTTCCATACAGAAATACCTATGTAAATGTGTTTATTAAATCCATCTGAAAATGTATGAAAATCTGCAGAATCCTGTCTGATGCTCTTCACTGTCTGATACCTTTAGAAATGAATTTGTGTTCCAATATCTTCATTTTAAATCTGATCTAATGATCCTTTAACAGGACAGAAGCGAGTGTTGTGGGTATTGATACTCTGTGAAAATGCAGTTATGATCTGATATCTTGTTTATGTGAAATACATTGTGTGTGAGAGTCTGACTGCAGACATACATGGTTAATGTAAAGTACAGTGCAGATCACAGAAGAACGTTTAGTTACATCTGGAACCTTCATTACACTCAACTGCACACAGATAATAACTAATACTGATAAATATAATAAAATAAAATAATAAATAATAAATAAAATAAAAATATTTAACAAGTGTATTTTTTGCCATTTTCATACATTGCAAAAATATATTTGAGTATACGTTTGGATATATAGGGATGGCCTCTTCCTATTCACCAGTACATCAAAAACATGACTGCAAAACACCAAATGGCTAAAAACTAAAGTTGAAATAGTTTTTTAAAACCTGTACGTTTCCTTTTTCTACAGTGCTGATTGGTTAGTGTTACTGTGTGAGCGTGAAGACCGTGTGGAAGTGTGTGGGCAGTGACGGCTACACCGTTTAAAACAGGCTTACTCATTTTCATACATACATCCCAACTTTTCTGTAACGGCGTTCGTACAACATAAAAAACAATAAACATTGATCAACTCAGCCGATAGCTGATCCGTTAAAGCGTCTGTGGATCAGCGCTGATCGTTCAGATTCGTTCTCGATTTGTTTATCACTTTTTTACTCGTTGCATAATTCCATATGTGTTATAACACACAAACGCACTGGCAGACAGTATAGAGCGTCTCCATGGAAACAGCAGGTTGGCTTTGCTGAACAGTTACATAATGAAGGTAAATAGATGAGTTAATCTCTCTCTCTCTCCATCTCTCTGTCTGTCTCTCTCTCTCTGTCTCTCTGTCTGTCTGTCTCTCTCTCTCTCTCTCTCTCTCTCCCCGTCTCTGTCTGTCTGTCTCTCTCTCTCTCCGTCTCTGTCTCTCCGTCTCTCTCTCTCTCTCTCTCTGTTCTCTATCTGTCTCTCTCTCGCTCTCTCACACACACACACACACACACACACACATTCTTTTTCCTTTCTTTTATTGTTTTTATCATCCCCTTCATTCTTCCTTTCTCTTCCTCAGTTTCATACTGTTTCATTTTCTTTTCATTCTTTCTTTTATATTCCCAATTTCATTTTTCTTTGTCACTTTCTCTTTCATTCTTTTTTCTCTCCTGTTCTTTTCTTTCGTTTTTCATTCCCTTTCATTCTCTCTCTCTCTCTCATTTTCATACTTTATTCTTTCCCTTTCAGTCTCTCTATCATTTTCTTTCCTTCTTTTTTCATTCATTTTTTCCTTTCTTTCATTTTGATTATTTCTTTTATTTTTTCTCTTTCGCCTTTTCATTCCTACTCTCTCTTATTTTCATTCGTTTCTTCTTTCTCCTTCTTTCACGCTTTCTCTCCTTCATTTCCTGTTTCTTCATCGCTCTCCCTCTCTCTCTCTCGCTCTGACCTAAAACTCCTCTCTGTAATAAACAGACATAAATAATCTCATTTAACTCCATCACATGATCAGAGTCCAAACCTAAATCTAAAATCTAAATCCAAATCCTGTACCAGGCAGAGCTGATACCCCCCACTGCCCCCCCACCCCACACACACCTCTCCACCTCACGCTGACCGAGAGAAACAACAAGAACGCTGTGTATCTTAATCTTGAGGTCAAAATAATAAATAAATCCAACAACTGACCTTTAACAGAGAGAGAGAGAGAGAGAGAGAGGGAGAGAGGGAGAGAGAGAGAGAGAGAGAGGAGAGAGAGAGAAGGAGAGAGGGAGAGAGAGAGAGAGAGAGAGAGAGAGGGAGAGAGAGAGAGAAGGAGAGAAAGAAAGAGTGTGAGAGAGGGACAGAAGAAGAGAGAGACAAAGAAGAGAAAAGAGAGCGAGAAAGAGAAGCGAAGAAAGAAGGAGAGAGAGAAGGAGAGAAAGAAAGTGTGAGAGAGAAAGAGAGGGAGAGAGAGAGGGACAAAGAAGAGAGAGAAGAGAAACCGAGGAAGAGAGAGAGAGGAGAAAGGAGAGAGTGTGAGAGAGAAAGAGAGAGAGAGTTGAGTTAAAATGGACACTAAAGTATTTTATTCACTCTGCGCTGCACTAAATCCATATAACAGGACTGAGTGCTTCGAGTAGGAATGCAAAAGTACACAGTGAACTTTCGATCTGTTCAGTGCGCCCCCTACTGTTCAATACGCACACCTGCACGGTGCTACCATACGCCTCAAATTTCACTAAAACCTCCAAAACTTGCTGATGTGCTGCAGCCACACACTGTACATTCAGATCCACAGAACATCTCTGGACCTAAACAGAACATCTCTGGACCTAAACAGAACATCTCTGGCACCATTCAGCGCTAATGCTAATTGTAAGTTCTCATTTAGCATTACTAGCCTAGCATTTTTGAGCTAACAGCCAGAGTGTGTACAGGTAGTAAACCGACGCTAAGTATGTGATGAGATGCTGAACACTTTATTTTGCTCAGTTTATATGAGTAGAGTGTAAAAATGAACATGAGCCAGTCGTTTATCTGCTCCCCCTGCTGGGGTTCTGTAGCAGGGCTCTGCTACGTGACGCTACATGGCACAACGAGGTGCGTCCGGTGTGCGGTGGCCTTTACAGTCTCCCCTCCCGCACACGTTACAGCAGCACAGTAACTCCCGAATCTCTTTGAAACATCACAGAGAGAAACTGAAAACGACCTGACGCAGACGCCGTCTGTAGCTCTCCTTAATCATTTTTAAATAGAGAAGACAAAACACCTACAGGCTCTCAAAGCTGAGAAACACTTAATGTAGTTTTTCTTCTCTTGATTCCATACAGTACAGACAGAAACCAGCCCAGTGCTGCCCAGTTCTATTAAAGATCAGATTAAATTACAGAGTTCACTCTTTAAAGGTACTGAAACTGTACCGTTACCGTGGCCCAAAAACCCTGATACATACGGAACCGTGGCCCACTGTTCAATAAAGCTGTCAGATTTTACGATGACAGTCCAAGATGTGATAAATTATTATTAATAGTGCACCTCTGTACGTGACACGAGAGACGAGCTCTGGATGTGTAAACAGAAATATGACTAACCTCCTTTAACAAACAGCAGAATAAAGTGACAAAAGCACCGTTCACTACTGCACAACATGAAAAAATGAATTACTGCTGAAACAGCTGCTCACATCAGAACTGAGAGCACTGTCCAGTTCCTCAGCCCCACACAGTGTTCTTCCATCACTGCATTAAACCGAAGCCATGCTGAGAGCTCAGAGACACAGGAGATCACAGGAGGCTTCAGATTTACACAGAGCAAGGCAGGCAGTCAGACAGATGCTAATGCTAATGCTAAGAGGCAGTAAACAGATATTAAGCCTGATGAGATCCTGAATGCTTTACTTCAATCAGTTTATATGAGCAGAGTGTAAGAATGAACTTAAACCTGCTGTTTATGTTACACCAGGGAATGACTGAGACAAAATACCAGCGTATTTGAAACGTTCATGCTTCTTATTTTGCTGTTTAGCACAAGCAGAACGAACTTCACCAGCTAATTTTCTTTTACCAGTGACGTCGGCAGTGAGGCATTCCGGCTTCAGACAGGCAAAGTCCATCTCCTTCCTTGGTGGGGGAACAATATATCACTGGTGTCGAAACAAAACCTCATATCTCCAAAATGGTAGCTTTACAGGAGAAGAAAAAAACATACTGTACTTTTAATGTAAGTCAATGGAACCAGAATTTTTTGTCGAAGTAATTTTGGGCCGTTTCTTTTGGTTCATTCATCATGAAATTTCCAGACAATGTAAAGCACAACAAGCATGTTTCACATTATGTTTTTAGGTTTTGTTCTGACGACAGCGATCTATATATATTACACACACACACCGATCAGGCGTAACATTCTGACCACCTCCTTGTTTCTACGCTCATTGTCCATTTTATCAGCTCCACTTACTATATAGGTGCACTTTGTAGTTCTACAGTTTCAGACTGTAGTCCATCTGTTTCTCTGATACTTTGTTAGCCCCCTTTTACCCTGTTCTTCAGTGGTCAGGACCCCCATGGACCCTCACAGAGCAGGTACTATTTGGGTGGTGGATCATTCTCAGCACTGCAGTAACACTGATGTGGTGGTGGTGTGTTAGTGTGTGTTGCGCTGGTACGAGTGGATCAGACACAGCAGTGCTGCTGGAGTTTGTAAACAGTGTGTCCACTCACTGTCCACTCTATTAGACACTCCTACCTTGTCAGTCCACCTTGTAGATGTAAAGTCAGAGACGATGGCTCATCAGCTGCTGCACAGTTTGTGTTGGTCATCCTCTAGTCCTTCATCAGTGGTCACAGGACGCTGTCCACAGGACGCTGTTGGCTGGATATTTTTGGTTGGTGGACTATTCTCAGTCCAGCAGTGACACTGAGGTGTTTAAAAACTCCAGCAGCACTGCTGTGTCTGATCCACTCGTACCAGCACAACACACACTAACACACCACCACCATGTCAGTGTTACTGCAGTGCTGAGAATGATCCACCACCCAAACAGTACCTGCTCTGTGAGGGTCCATACTAATATATAGTAGTTACTGACCACAATGATTTGTAACGCGATGCTGTATACTGAGGTTTTGTCAGATCTAATGTCGTTATCATTTCACTCATATTCCCGTCTCCACTCACTCCTGCACTGTTACACTGCTGTGTGTTTGGATCCGGTTTGTGTGTAGTTTCATTGACGAGTCGCTGCTGCCCCTACAGTTTATTGTGCCCCTCCAGGCAGAGACGCCACTGCTGCAGGGTGTGTGTGGGGGGTCTGTAC